CTGTAGCCCAGGTGGGAATTGCAGAGATTGTACGTCAGGTACAAGATAACCAATTAATAAGCGAAAAGGACCGTCGAGCTACCATTGACGTACTCCAACGATTTAGCACTGTTTTCTCGGAGAATATCTCTGGAAATCGGACAACCATTGTGCAACATTCCATTGTCACAGGTGACCACATGCCATTACGCCAACCACCTCGCAGAGTCCCGGTGCATTATCAGCCTCATTTAGAGTCAATGATAAAAGATATGTTAGAAAAAAAGATTATTATACCATCTTCGTCACCCTGGGCATCGCCAATTGTCTTAGTAAAAAAGAAGGATTCCTCCCTACGATTGTGTGTAGATTACCGACGCCTTAATGCTATAACTAAGCGTGATTCTTTTCCACTTCCACGGATAGACGCTACCTTAGATGCCATGAAAGGTGCTCGCTGGTTCTCAACGCTAGACTTAGCATCAGGGTATTGGCAAGTGGAAGTCCGACCCCAAGATAGAAAAAAAACCGCATTTGTAGTGCCTAACGGCTTATATGAATTTCAGGTAATGCCTTTCGGGCTAACTAATGCCCCAGCTACCTTTCAACGATTGATGCAGACAGTTCTGCAAGGTCTCGTACCGCACCAGTGCTTAATCTACCTTGATGATATTATTGTATATGGCAGCACGCCAGAACAACATAATGCCAATTTGAAGGCGGTCCTACAACGTATTAGGCAGCATAACCTAAAAGTGAAACCATCTAAATGTCGACTATTGCAAAAAGAAGTGCTTTTCTTAGGGCACCGCATTACAGAAGATGGAGTGGCAACAGATAAGGAAAAGACACGTGTGATTGTTAATTGGCCGCAACCAAAATCACCCGAAGACGTTCGTAGCTTCCTTGGACTAGCTTCTTACTATAGACGCTTCGTACGTGATTTCGCATCATTAGCAGCACCTTTACACCGATTAACCCACAAAGGACGAAAATTTTTATGGACCAGCGAGTGTCAACAGGCGTTCGATGCTTTGAAGGCTCGGTTAACTTCTCCACCTATATTAGCCTTCCCGGATACTTCAGCAGACGGAGGCGAATTTATACTTGATACGGATGCTAGTTCCTCGGCTATTGGAGCAGTTTTATCACAAGTAGCTCGAGATGGACACGAAAGGGTTATTGCGTATGCTAGTCGACGACTAGATAAGAGTGAAGCACGATATTCTACAACACGTCGGGAGATGTTAGCACTAGTAAAATTCTTACAACATTTTCACCATTATCTGCTGGGCAAACCCTTTCGTGTGCGCACGGATCACCGTGCACTGCAGTGGCTCCGCTCTTTCCGCGAACCAGAAGGGCAAGTGGCACGCTGGCAGGAACGACTACAAGAGTTCGATTTCACATGCGAGTATCGACCGGGAAATCGACATGCAAACGCGGACGCCCTCTCCCGAATACCCCAGACCACAGATATTATTAACGCAATTCTTAGTACAGCTCCAGAGACAGACTGGCCCTCTCTACAAGCAACAGATCCAGACTTACAGATTGTTTATCAAAGACAGCTACATGGAAATAGTAAGCCATCCATGAGGGAGCTTAAAGATCAATCTGTAACAACTCGTCGTATATGCACCAAATGGGGCAACCTCAAACTATATGGTGACACATTATTCCTAATGAATGAATCAAAACAACCCCTACTGATAGTACCGCGAGTGAAAGTTGAGAGTATTGTGGAACAGGTACACCGCGAACTTGGTCATGCGGGAGAACGGAGAACTGAACACGCTGTCCGTCAACGCTTTTGGTGGCCATCCATACACGAAGATGTAGCTCAGTTTTGCAAGAATTGTAACACGTGCTGCCGTTTTAAATCGCTTCAGCAGACACCCCGTGCACCAATGACGCCGATGGTGACGACAGGACCACACCAGCGAGTTGGTATAGACATCATGGGACCACTGACTACAACAAAAAACGGGAACCGCTACATACTGGTTATGGTGGATTATTTCACCAAATGGTGCGAAGCTGTACCCCTTCCACAGCAAGACGCCCTTACTGTTGCCCGAGCTTTCATCGATCATTGGGTATCCCGTTATGGTGCCCCTGTCTCACTCCACTCCGACCAAGGTCCATCCTTTGAAAGCCACCTCATCACTGAGATATGCCGGCTATTAGGAATCAAGAAGACACACACCACTGCCTATCACCCAGAAGGTAACGGTCTTGTGGAAAGAACAAACAGAACTATTAAAGCCATCTTGCAGTCGTTTGTCAGCAGATCGTCACCTGAGTTATGGGATGAGGTGCTCCCCCAATGCCTTTTAGCATATCGTACGTCGGTACATGGGTCAACGGGATTCTCGCCTGCTATTCTGCTGTTTGGACACGAACTACGCCTACCAGTAGAGATACAGTCACCCCTGCTGCCCTACGAAGAACAAGAGCATGTTCCGTACATACGTACCCTTCGCAACCGACTAACTGATGCCTACCGTCTGGTCAACATTAACTTATGCAAGGCTAGTGGACACCAAAAAGATATATATGATCGTCAAGCACAAGGACCTAGGTATACGGTTGGAGATCGCGTCTGGTTACGCCGCCCAATTACGTCGCTAGGGGGTTGCAGTAAATTCCATCAACCCTGGCAAGGCCCCTTTGAAATTGTCCTCATCCGATCGCCCACCACGTTTGTATTGCGTAACATACAACGGCCTAAAGACGATGTGATAACGGTGCACTACAACCAGATAAAACCCGATCGGACGACATTTCCCTTCGATGCTCAACTCGCTGATCCACCGGCGGCCACTAGATTTTACGAAGTACCATCTGAAGGAGGGACAGCATACCCGTGCCCAAGATCAGGCACTGAGGACAGTGCCTCATTAGGAGAGGGTGCGATGTAACGGGATTAAAATCATCATGTATGATGTTGTTAATAGATTTTGTTTTCTTTCTATTGCAGGGCAAGCAATTTGGACTTCGCAGATGAACCTAACCTCCTATCCGATATACACGAGCAAATGCAGATAAAGACAGCCAATGTAGCAGCAGTCTCTGCATCAGTAGGCTCAACATACACAAGGGGAAAACCAAGGTCCTCAAATTCAAAGCGAGAGAACAGCAATCCAATCACTCTTGATGGAGAAACTCTGGAAGATGTAGAATCCTTCACATACCTGTGAAGCATCATCGATGAACAAGGAGGATCAGGTGCAGACGTAAAGACAAGGATTGGCAAAGCAAGAGTCGCATTCCTTCAGTTGAAGAACATATGGAACTCAAAACAACTTTCAACCAATATCAAAGTGAGAATCTTCAATACGAACGTCGATGCAGTTATGCTGTACGGAGCTGAAACTTGGAGAACTACTACAATGATCATCAAGAAGGTGCAAGTATTTATAAATAGTTGTCTACGCAAGATACTCAACATCCATTGGCCGGACACCATCAGCAACAGCCTTCTGTGGGAGAGGACAAACCAGCTGCCAGCTGAAGTGGAAATCGGAGAAGACGATGAAAATGGATAGGATATACATTGAGGAAATCATCAATCTGCATCACGAGGCAAGCCCCAACTTGGAATCGTGAAGGGAAGGGGAAAGAGGAAGGTCAAAGAACACAGTACATCGAGAAATAGAAGCAGATATGAAAAGGATTAATAGGAACTGGAAGGGATTGCCCAGTACAGGGTTGGATGGAGAATGCTGGTGAGAGGCCTATGCTCCTTCACGAGGAGTAACAGGCGTATGCAAGTAAGTAAGTAAGTTATTAAAGTATCTTCACTCATAATATCTGTAGAAACTTATTATACTCAAATCATTTTGTATCAGATTTCATGTACAAAATATCAAATACTTTTCTCAGTATAATCAATGTATTTTCATGAAAAGGACAATATTAAATTGTGATATGTTTCGGTCAAACCAGCTTATAAACACCTTTGCTTATCCTTGATACCGGTTTCAGTTAGGAACTTTGTTAGTCCTAGCTAAAATCATACACTTGTCTAGAATTTTCTTCCTTCCATTAAAAGCTAACAGTATCTTGAATCATTTTGATACACCATTTAAATATCTGAAGCTCTAAAATGTATTTTAGAGTGTGATTTCGGATTACCAAGGATAGAATTTCGTAAGATAGAATAATTAGCATTAGTTGTACGTGAAAAAATATATGTAGCCAGAGAAGAAGGAGATGATAATAGGAATAGAGGAAGCATTTGGGGACAAATATGGACTTTCACTGTGTACACAATCAACTTGATTGTAGTTAGAGGTATGTGCGTCTAGTTAAAGAAATTTTCTTCTTGAGCGACTTCCAAAATAAAACTGGGTTAGTAGTGATCTTAAACACATAAGAGCGTGGCCGCAGAGGTCAAGGGTTTGTTGTTGCTACATTGATGTGGTGGTTGGGCTTGCCTATCGTGATGAAGCAACCGAGATACACTAGCTGGAACAACGGTTCCTCAAGGTCCTACTATAAGTATTATATTATAAGTTTGGTTATTGTGTACGCAAAGTCTCCCATTCTAGAATTATGCTTCCAGTTATGTTAAACATTCGGAGAGCAATTTTGTCATCTCATACCATTAAAATAAAAAATCAGTAACCAATAAACAACTAGATAACCAGCCAATGACGTTAAGCGACCTTGTCATTCTGTACCTTATCTAGCAGTTACTGGTTTATGTATCCAACTCTGAACTACACTTTTGTTCAAGAGCTAGTAACACTACCCGGTGGAGAGCTATTCGGACCGTCAATCTTTTGCTTTAGAGTTCAATGCTTTAAAAAATATGCCACTGCTTCATACCTGTATCAAAGGCATACAAGTTTGCCAATTATGCATTAGGAATGAATTGAGAATAGTTGTTATGTGGTCAACTTCATAACAGTTAATCGATTACATATAGATATAGATCGATAAATAGAGGTCAAGTATGTTTACACACAGCTTTTATAACCTTGACTTTGGTTCTTGTGTAGAAGCTTTAAACTATGTTAGATTTATTTCCGTCTTACACAGATTGCAAGTATCTCTATCCTTGAAAATACTAAAAATAAATTAAAGCCAAATATTCAGATTTGAACTTAGATACTAAATTGCTCTGAATTAATTACTTAATCATAAGACCTAACCATATATTGATACACTGTACTAATCAGTCAGTGGGACAAGAAATGACTTTAATTTCAAAGGGATGAAACACACTATTAGTGGTTTAGTTTTATGAGGGATATGTATATATGTGTAAACATACATGTCAATTCACTTTAGCCAATAAGCTTCCATTCTCAATCTCAATCATTTCACTTGAGTAACCAGTTGAACTTGTAAACATAAAGATTACGTATCAGTATCGACTCTTAAACATTTCACGTCACAACAGTTTCTAGTGATGAACTTCCAGTGCAATATGTGGAAATGAATTCAATAACATCAATTTCGCAAGCGTAGTTTAAAAGTATCTTACAGTAGTAACAGCAGAAGAAGTTTCAAGCACCATAATTAAAATCGATTAAGTTAATGGCTAAAAATTTCTAGATTCAAAAGAATTCAGTACAGATATCTGCGTCACTGGGATCAATTAATGAATTCTTAATTAATTTAATAAGTTTCATTTTAATACAAATACAGATGTCACATTTAAATCCTAATTCGACCGATATCAAGACATTTTCAGAGCTGATTTTTCACATCATGATTATTGTTCCTCAAGGAATCAAATTCTTCTTCAGAATCTCAAAGCAGTTAAAGATGAAAAATATTCCAATCTCATTTTTCTCTTGGTGGCACTGTAAGAAAATTAACCTAAATATTTACCATTGTGACTTTATTGGTTAATTTGTGATATAATTGTTTGAAGGTTGTTAAATTACTTGAAGATGATTTCGTTTCATATGTTGCTCATTGACTACAAATGGAATTTAAATAGATGAAGAGCTACAACAAGGTATTGGCCACACCTGATTTATCAAACAACTCAAGCATCGCATATTTTTCGAAAGAGAGGGAGATTGTGTGGGTGTGCCCCCCCCTCCGCCATCTCAACGCCTTCAGCTAAACCTTAGAAATCAGACTTATTTTCACGTGGGAAAATTGATACATTCAACCAGTCATGAAAAGAGATTTATATCAACTCTTTTCAACCATCTGCCATAAGTAGGCGCTGGTAGTGTCTAATACGCCATTAAGACCTCTGCAATTCAACCATCTGGTTCAAAAACACATCGTTGAAATTAGTGACCTGAGCTTCAATTCTTCCTCCATCATTTTGTAATTGTACCAATTTAACCTTATTCTAGTTAATATAATTTAAAAGATACGTTCCATAAACAATAGTTCATATCTTGTGTAATAATCACTTTATCAAATCAAATATATACTCGAAAGCTATATTTATATTCTTAATTCTATCATTATAGGGTTGTGGAGGCTATCGAGTTTTTGATTGAGATCATGAACTGATTGATGTAAAACCGCCATTGAAAATCTGGAAGCACTGGATGGCCGCTTCGTCCTATTGTGGGACTCCTCAACAGTGCGCATTCACGATCCCACGGTCGCGCAATTTCGCGGGTTGGTTAAGATGAGACATTAACATTATTAGATGCCAACTCAGTGGTCTAGACTGAAGGTCCTGGGTTTGAACCCCGCGAGCGGGATCGTGGATGCGCATTTCTGAGGAGTCCCACAATAGGACGAACGGCCGTCCAGTGCTTCCAGGTTTTCAGTGGTGTTCTAACGTCAATCAGTTCATGATCTCAAACAAAAATCTTATTTGTATATTACACGACGCAGAAAAGGCACTAATAGTCATATGCGCTCACATCACAGTTTATATACGTATTTAGACTTAATAGGAATGGGTGACAGTCTGCCTTGCCAATTAGTGATTGGCAATTAAAACTTAGCAGTTCAGGAATCGGCATCTGATTAATGTTCTTTCTTTTCAATACATATTGTTAGCCATCATGATATATTCAATCGTATTTCTTTGTACCTTGTGAAGCAATAGGTCTTAAAACTTTCATAAATGCGCCTGAGCAGTTTATGCAATTAAGAGACATAATACAAAAGATAACTTATTGGAAAATTTAAATGGCAGGAATAGGTAGCACAGTTATTCAAGCAGACCGCCTTCTATCTGGACTTCACTTAAGACTAGCATTTTCCAAAGAAATAGCAGGATGTCGATTGTTTATCTATTCCGATCTTCATAGTTTTTCGCTGCGAGATAGATTTATGCTTTTTTGTTGTATGGAATTCATCTTTTTTGTTTCACTATTATTTCATTAGCCTACTGAAATTAATTAAAGTAGTATAAAGTATCAAAAATCCTTTTCTAAAACATTCAACCCTTTGAAATTTTAAATTCGTTTTGTATTGTTTACTTGAGTCTTCTCATTGATGTTAAGAATTGCAATTAATCAGTCTTTTATTGGTATATGCACATCCTGTGCGTATTGCTGCGATATCGCTTTAATTCACAAGCACTATAAGCAAAGATAGAGGATGGTATCCAGGACGTATGTTTTGTCTCCCATCTTGATCTAATTTTGATCCCATATTCGTCCATGATTTTTCTGACTGGTTAATAAATGAAGTCGATTTCCATGTGTACATCGACTGCTGATTGATCTACGTATCGAGCTTCTAAAATCCTTTGATAAACTCGGAAAATTTAAAATCTGGATATCAATTCCAGATCTTCAAAAAAGGGGAGGTGTGTTAGGTCCCGATAAGCATAATGAATGGTAACTTTGGGATCCATTTATGGACGAATACTAAATGCATATTTTTATCGTATAATGGTTAAACAACTAAACTATTCATATTCCTCTTATTATAAGCTTTATTTTGACCTATGACCCATTATTATACGTTTTCCATTCTCTAATCATGCCGTCTATTAATCACTACCTCCCATACTCACAGCCACTTTTGGCTAAATCTTGTACAAATGTTGTCTCCTATTTTATGGTACTATGTGGTCTGTCTGGTTGGTGTATAGACTCAGTATATTTGAAATAAATGATTCATATTGCAGAGGCTGAGATTGGTGTTCTGGACTTGACAGGTGGGGGCTAGGTGGGAAGCACGACCGATAAGAACTCTAGACTGCTCATACGGGTTTACGCGTCATTGATCCGATCGATAAATCACTGCTCTCTGATTTGCGGTGTCGTTACGTTATACATTAAACAGGCACACAGTCCACAAGTTGTAACATACTGTAAACTGATCGACAAGTCATATGAGTGTTTCATCTGTCATTGGCCATTTGATTTTTGTATTTTCAAAAATTCCTCATTGATTTATCACTGATTATTATCATCATTTTAATCCATTCCTTTATACAGAGCCCAGTCATATACTTTTATTACTGGTATCCGGATATCAGATCAACCAATATTGATTACAGAGCATGATTTAATTCAATTTAAATCAGATCTTGGTCATTTGGCCAAAGAACGAACACGACTGGAATCGTTAATTTCATCTGAATTAATGTTTGCCTTGAGTTATCCAGAAAGTGAATTACGTAAAGAGCATACTGATGCTTGGAATTTCGTAAGTTTATTCTGATAACAATGATAATTTTATTAAAAAATTAAACCATTTTTCAATATCAATGATGAAAATGTTTATTTTAATTATTTATTTGAACATATAAATATTGGTACAAGCGGGCACCAGATATATATGCGCCACACAAAACAATGAGAATGGGAGGAGAAAATGAAGGTAAGGTGCGTAAATGGAAAAAAAGAACAATAACGATCACAGATTACTGGGTGGTGGTGTAGTAATAATGATAATGGGGGAAACAGATAGGAACAACCAGAAGAATTCTTTCAGTTAAGGAAGTCACAACCACCTTTTATGAAGAAAGTAGAAGAAGGTTACAGCAGGATCTCCACTGGCTTCTATTCTGAGCCATATCTGATAATATCTCTAGCCACTGTGTTGCACGATCTCTCGGGCCCTCAAATGCCTTGGTACGGCCGAGGGAGGGGAAGGTCAGCTCTCTCTCGAAATACTCTCACATGGTCATGCATATACAGCCACTATTAGGGAAGTCCTACCCACTGCCTTCTCGCGGTATTACTGTTGTTTACGAAATTGAGGCGACCAAAGGCGAATGTCCGTCGCTTTAACCGGGTTAGTGAACACGGAGGGTCCAACTAGGTAAGTCGGGAAACCTTGATTACAAACCAATGGTACACATGGCTCCAGGATTCTGAGGGAACAAATGGCGTATGAATCTATTGTTTGTGACCAGCTACCATGGGATTGAATCTCCTGACTTTGTTCCACTGCCTTGTGGATTAGACCTTTAGGTCGAAGGCTCATGGTGTAGTCCTCTCCATAAAACCACTTGCTTCGATCTGTGTACCCGGGCAGTATTATAGTCACACCCAAATCAAGTGACTTGTGTAGCGCACATGTATTTTGTGCCTCTTTGTACTAATATTTATGTGTTCAAATAAATAAGTAAGTAAATTGTGAAATGAATGTCTTAACCACAAAAAAACATGAATTAAATCGTTAAAACACTGTAATAACTAAAACTAGGTATTGTTATTTTAGCAAATTAGATTTCGCTTAAAACCCAGTAGTTATTGTAATATCTTTTAGTGGTTTTTTCTTCTTAAATGCATGAATTAAATTTCTTTCAATAATAACCTTATTCTCACACGTTCATAAACGTCTGTATAAAAATGAAGTCAAGAAAATAGAACATTCTAACTATCTACTATGATAACGCATTATCTTTGATTCTTAATGAAAGTGGAAATGCTAATCATTGGTTAGCCACCAAATGCCCTGGTACGGCCGAGGGTTAAGAGATTCAGCTCTCTGCCTCTCTCTCTCCAAATGCTCTCACATGGCCATGCATAAACAGCCACTATCAGGGAAGTCCTACTCACTGCCTTCTCTCGGCATTACTGTTGTTTACGGATTTGAGACGACGAAAAGCGAATGGCCAGCGCTTGAATCGGGTTGGTGAACACGGAGTCCACCTAGAAGAGTTGGAAAACCCTGATTCCAAACCAATGGTGCACATGGACTCCAGGATTCTGAGTGAAAAAATGGCGTACGTACCGATCGTTTGTCACTGGCTACCATGGGACTGCATCTCCTGACGTTGTTCCACTTCCTCCCGGCCAAGACCTTTAGGTCGAAGTCTAGGGGTTTAGCTTCCTTAAGAAAACCACCTGCTTCATTCTCGGCACCCGGGAAGTATCACAGCTCACACACAAATCAAATGATTAAGGCTTGCATAGTAAGAAAACCAGTTTTAGAAATGTAGGTTAAAAGCAGAGTTATTGGAAAAAGAGCATATAACAGTGTTTAATAAAATTGCCAAACTAGTGATAACTACTATTAAATTTTAACGTACTGACTAGTTTACTTGGAGAATGTGAATGGCTCGTTCGACATATATACCACCAACTGTTGTCAACTTTGTATCAAAATGAAGATATTTCATCTAGTCACCAGTTTTCTCAACCTTGATATTATGAGATATTGCGATGGAAATGTGAGTATATGTTTAAATTGAATGTATTTAGTTATTCGAGTGGATAACTGAATGGTCCGTCTGAAGCTTATTGTTGTAACGCGTGTGTGTGACTGCAGGTTTTTGATAAGCAGCGTTATTTATCGATCGCGATCTGTGACAGTGACACGGAAAACACGTACGGACGACCTAGTGCCCTGATTGGCCCTGCTTCGCTGTCCGTCCTAGCCCAGTTGAGTGAAGAACACAAGTCACAGCCTCTGAGTTATGAATCATTATATTTCAAACATACTCTATTTATATACCAAGCAAACAAGCCACATCGTACCATAAAATAGGAAACAACATTTGTACAATATTTAACAAGTGAAATAAACATCGACCAATAAGAATGTACATTTAAGGTTCAAGGACACCATTGAACTTAACATGGTAATTATTGGTCTCTTTTTCCGACTATCCCAACACTTATATTCAGAGATTTAGGCAGGAAGCTGTATCTTCTGAAGTAGTTTTCTGTGTTACGTATTTCAGCTAGCCGTCTATCCTTACGTGTGATGCTGATCAGAATAATGCTAACTCTTTTAAACGAACGCTAGATCCGGTTATTAAGCTGTTCTGGTAATCCCGATCTAAATCTACTCAGCTACTTGTACACGAGAAAAAAGGCATGAAATATGGAAGAAACGCTTTACTCCAAAAGTTTGTTTATCTACAGAAAATCTAAGATTTTATTCTATTTTAGATGGTCTTGGGTTTCTGGAAAATTCAGAGACGCTACTAAACATACTAGCAGTATATGTAATCATTCAATCAGAAAATCGACTTGTGACTTTTCACTTTCTAGATGTTTCTGGCAAAAAAACTTCTAGTGAATGCTGATTGGATAAGATGCTTCTTAGTGTTTTCAGAGCCTTTGTTGGCTTTTTTCGAGGAGATTTCTGGATATCCTCAACAAATAGTATTAGGGTTTTGGAGAGTAATTCCTAACGATTTTTCGACTAGTATTTAATGTTAACTCATAAAATCACTAGTTGTTTGTAAAAGCCACAAAAGGGAGTAGGTATCCGTTAAATTCACTCAAGGATTCGGATCGAACAACTGAAGCACACATAGAATCTCAAATTGAATCAATGAGTTTTTTTCGTGAGATGGTACTGTTATTAATGACAACATAAGTAATATACCTTACAAATCTAATAAGTGAGTTATCTAAAAGGTTTGCGTGGTTCAAGATAAGATCAAAGCAGAAGAGCCTGCCACAATACTTATTATTTATCAAGACATACGTAACAGACGGTAGTTCTTTAATCCAGTAATGACATCCGACAAATCAAAACGAGAACTATAGACATAAAGTACGAAATTTGTTACGAACAAACAAGTGTTTAATGAGTGCACAATCAATAAGGATGAATGTTAAGAACATCAGGACAACACAATTACAAATATAATCAAATTATATGTTACGGATTTTTCTGGTTGGCGTTCTTTTAGTGAGTTACATATGCAAAGGGAAAAGCAAGATTCTCCGATACAACACAGCATGCCCCTATCGAACCGCACTTGACGTAGATTTGGAAGATGTAAAAACCTTTACATATCTGAGCAGCATCATTGATTAACACGGTGGCTCTAATGTAGATATGAAGGCGCGGATCGGCAAAGCAAGAACAGCATATCTACAACTAAAGAACATCTCAACTCAAAACAACTGTCTGTCAACCAACACCAAAGTCAGAATTTTCAATACAAATGTCAAAACAGTTTTACCGTGTGGGGCGGAAACTTGGAGAACTACTAAAGCCATCATCCAGAAGATACAAGTGTTTATTAACAGTTGTCTACGCAAAATACTTCGGATCTGTTGGCCGGACACTATCAGCAACAACCTACTGTGGGAGAGAAGAAACCAGATTCCAGCGGATGAAAAAATCAGGAAGAAACGCTGGAAGTGGATAGGATACACGTTGAGAAAAGCACCCAACTGTATCACAAGGTAGGCCCCCATTTGGAATCCTCAACATCGAAGGAGAAGTGGAAGACCAACGAACACATTACACAAAGAAATGGATACAGACATGAGAAGAATTAACAACAATTGGATAGAACTAGAAAGGAAGGTGGGGGACAGATTGCGTCGGAGAATGCTGGTCGGTGACCTATGCTCCACTAGGAGTAACAGGCGTAAGTAATATGTTACAAATTCTTGGGAAGACTTAGAAATTCAACACATTTTGATGAAGAGTTAAATGTTGTTGAATGATAATGTTATTAGTTACTGGTTATTAATAAGATAATATAATACCCTAAAAGGGGCCAGTTAAAAAAGTGTTATAACAAGAACTTATATTATTGATATACCGCGTATAACTTGAGTACTAGAACGCTAGAACCCTTCCAAGTCGCAATGAAAAGACAGAAGTCTAGTAAAAGGAATGTTATTCCAGACAATGTCAAATTATAGTACAAAACTGCCAGGTATTTATAGTTTTTAGTAAAAACGAAATCATCATTATAGCTATCCAATCCGCACACAAGGGGTTATTAGCATTGTCCAATCGAATAGCTACATGTAGAGATTCCAGAATATTCTTCCGAAAGACGATTGGATGGAATATCTTCGACTTTTTGAGCTTCTTACAGCTTCCTCGAGTTCATCCGTGGACTGTTCTCACAAAAAGTATTAAAATAGTGAAGGACTAAATACATGTTAACCTATAGGCGAAAAGTTATGACTTAGTGGTAACTTATTTTTTGTGATTCGGTACACAATCGATCAAATTATCTTGAATGTTTCTACTTTTTCCTCCTTTTATTTTATTTTTGTGAATGTTTTACTGCTTTTCATTAGTTTTCTCTGTACTCATGTCTTTCGTATTAAAATCACCCAGTAATGTTAATTAGCATACACAGTAGTTCTACAAATCTCTAGTGTATTTTTTTATTCTTTGTCACTTATAAATAAGTACCCTCGTGAATTGCTAGTCTTTCAATCAGTGTTTATCAGTTGTCAATTATACGTAACATTAGGACCTTACACGTATGGTCATCAGTTCAAGTTATCATGCCCCATTTTAAAAAAAACGACGGGAAATTGTCAAACAAATTATAGTGATAGAATAGTAATATTATCAGTGGTAATATAAAAGGTTATACATAAAAGATATGATTCGAAAAGAAAATATAGATTAGCGGAATAAAATAGGATTCAAATAGGTAGAATCTAAGGGAAGATTAAGAGTGAATACATCTGCGCCGTCGTAAATGATTCCGCGCGATTACGCTTAATGTCTCTCTCGCTTTGGCGGCCTTCTTAAACATCTTGACTAATTGTCCCTGCCATCTTGATATTTCAACAAGTTATCTGTCTTTTGCTTGTTTCATAAGATCACTATCTCAATTCAGATGCGTTTGTGAAAAGTGTATAACCTTTCGTTGTACAAGTTACAAAAGAGCCCAATCAGAGATATCGTGGTTGCTGGGAATATGCAGCGAAAAGAATGTACATTATTCAAATGTCGACTGACTATCTGGCGATCATTCAATATTTATCGTCAGGATCGACCAATAAGTAAGAAACGGAAACTTGTTGAAATACTTTGTGCTACGAATTCCATATTGTACCAAAAATATAATATTGAATAAAGCTAATAATAATAACCACTGGTTACGATGATCCCCTGGTCTGCAACCAGGTAGTCTGTACCTCAGTGCACAGCTCAGTCCAACAGTTAATGGCTTCATGGACTGATATCATATTTTGAAATCACTCTTATTGTCTATCGTAGTTTAAAGTGTTACCTGACTTCAAAAGTGGAGTAGGTGAGGTAGATTTCAGATTTGTGTGAAGAAAAAAAAAACAGTGAATAAATTCATCCCCGTTACCTCGATCCATTTCGGCCGTCCCAGTTAAAGCTTCAAATCATAGATAAGATTATAACTTGGGGTTCATTTAGGAAGTTTAAAGCCATGAATTACGTGAATTGACTCCATGTTTTGATTTCCCCATCCTTATTTTTTCTCCTCTATCCCCCAACATTGACCGTTGAAGTTTAGGTAACTAGACAAGCATGAAAATATGACTGATTGGTTAAGACGTTCAACTTTCAACTACTAAGTCCTAAGTCGTAATCTCTCTACCTACTTCAGTTTGAACGACCGGGTGTTATCACTGACCGTCCGTAACTGACAAATGATTTAAAGTGAATAGCATATTTCCGAGATACTTCAGTCGATTAGGGTCCGTAAGTTCATCAGTCGACCATTTCTATGTAAAATCATACGACTAATTTCCATGTATACTCATGTGCTATTCGATAGCGTTAAGGGCGGCTCATAGTGATTTCTGTTGTTTCAGATTTCATCATTTTCCTGTCGACCTCGTTTGGAACATACATGTTCAATAACTTGATTATTTTCAACGGCTTATCACTGATGGTGAATGCATGAAGAATCTCTTAGTGGTCATATAGACATACTCTAAGCTTCAATAGACCAAGGTTTCTATGATAAATAAGGACATAAACAGTAAGTTGATCGATTGATTAGAATGGTTGATGTTACCATTTAATAATATGACATAAACTGAATATCTGACATCGAAAATTCTTTGTCTGTATTAAGCCTATATCAACAATACATTCTTCAACTTTATTAAACTAGAAACGGGATCTTCGGTGTATTCGTTATCCCAAAATTTCTTAGTGTTTAAAGTTAGATTTACAGAGTTTATAACTTTAAAATATATTCTAGTGAATATCTGTAAACATTAAGGAGGTGTAGAAAGGATTTGATCGTGACCAACTTGGTCTCGTGTGCTGTTACGGGTATGAGGGCCGATATCACTTCCTGGCTGCCCACACCGGAAGTGTATTTCTTGAGGAACCTGGAAAGGAAGATGGATTAATGTTGGTCTTAACAACCTGGGAGCATGACCGCAGAGCCCAAGGGACAACTTCTTGAGGCCGGTCACTCACGGCCTTTTCGTGGAAGGTTTTTTAACGTGTTAGCTCCGTTCTTCAAAGGGCCTTACCTCCGGAGACGGAAACTCGTAAGGTGAGGCGTGAAATTTTTAGGGTCGGCCCTTCTTAACCCCCTCCTTCCTTGTAAGAAGGCTGCATCGCTGCAGATGCTGGTTGTCTTAGGGAAACATGTTACTGCTGTCACACCCCTCTACAGTCAGCAATCCGACTTCGCCCTCAGACCTTGAGTTGTTGCTTTTAGTCTTATCGTTCTCCAATCGACCTGCCTGGCATGGTAGAACCCACAGGAACATATGTTCCAGCCAATATAGCTCGGTTGGGTCATCACGATAGGCAAGCCCGACCACCACATCAAAGTAGCCGCTGCGGTCGGGTGTAAACATTAAACTACTCACAACTATTCTACAGTCAATTTGAGTTGATGGGTTAGTGATAACACCTCAATATTTATTAATAATTATGATATAAACTTAACAGGACCTGGTAGGTTCGTAAATATCGCTACCGTGATGTATTTTTCTATATTCAATGACTTTTCATCAAATTTATTCCTTCCATTAATTCAATATTAAACTATAACAGGTTACTCTTTTTTTTCTCAATTTTGTAATTGTCTCAACATGGTTACAAAGTGTTGCCATGAATTTACCTTTGTGTTTTGTTGTTATGACATTACAAATATAAAATCCTATTCATGAAAGATTCATTACTGTTGTTATTTCATAATAATGGATCATACTTTAAACAACATAAACATTAATCTGAATGGGCAAGTGTTTTTTAAGTTTTGTAAAGATTTTTCTGAAACATTCCCATCAGAATGAGAAAGTATAATTGTATTGATTAAATTATATAAGGTTAAACAATGAAATTCTCATCTATCTATTTATCATATAATAAGCGAATGTCCGGCGCTTTAACCGGATCCCAAACCAGTGGTGCACATAGGCTCCAATATCGTGTGGGAACAAATGACGTATGAACCAATTGTTGGTCACCGGCTTCCATGGGACTGCATCTCCTCACGATGATCCACTGCCTTGTGGATCAGACCTTAAGGTCAAAAGCTCGGGGTGTGGCCTCCTAAGAAAACCATCTGCTTCGGTCTGGGCACCCGGGCAGTATCACTGCCCACACACACAAATATGGTGTGGCGCATATATATTTGGTGCCCTCTTGTACCAATATTTATGTGTTCAAATAAATAAATTTAACTATATACTTCATTCTATTGTTTTATTAGTTATGGACATCAGGAATAACTATTAGTCATTCCTATGCTCCTGGAGCTGTCAATGCAAAAGATATCAATACAACATTATATTACATTGCATCAAATAGTCCAGATTTATTATCAACTCAATCATCAATGATGAATAATTCAACTATAAATGAGTATAAAGTTCGATATAAAGATTATAATCAGTGTTTTCGAGGGACGTATACTTTGTGAGTTTTACTTTTCTTTTTTTTTGAAAAATTAACATTGTTACTTTTGTATTTATGACTTAATAAACAACCATCCACCAAAGGTTTAAAAAAATCAATACTGGCTCAGTAGGTTACCTATCTTGTACTTTCTAGGTGGTGGTATAACTTAGTAACTATGTTCATTATGACTCTAGATATCAGTAGTACAATGTTTAATGCTTACGAGTGGGTTTTTTTTTAAAACTTTATCTTAAGTATTTGACTAGTAAAATGACTTCCTAATGTAAGCAATATAGCTCATAGTTCACTAATAAAATGGTATATAAAGTGAAGACGTTACACTGTGTAAGTTAAATACCTTCCTATCATTAAGGTATGGGTTTACTGATCTATATTTCAGTAGATAAGAATGCCTTTTCCGTCACTGATTAAACATATCTTCATGTCTATTTTTTTAGTAGTTTAATCCATTATTGTGTTCTTTATCTAATGATATGAATTGTTTTTATAAGCAAGGATGAATAGTAGCTAACAGTGGAATCCAGGATGCGCGTTCCGTCCCATTAATCGGCTATAAGGACTCAGTAGCTAAATGGATAAGGCGATGGTGTTTGAAGCGAGTGGTAATGGCTTCGAGTCTCGTAGTGGATATTAACCAGTACCGGCGTCGGCAAATAGTGCACAACGTGGAATTCTGTGGGACGACATTCGTAGAATATGCACAAGCCACCGAAATCGGTGTTTCAAGATGGTAACACCAATTGAATTATCATCTCTGTCCCCCAACACACGATGCTGAACCTCTGCATTACTAACATGGTGTTGCCACTGAATGTCAGCAATCCTTCGGAGACAGCGATGATCGAACACAGAGAGTCGTCTAACATCCTCAACTCGTAGAGGCCAGGTTTCACAAGCATAGAGCAAAACTGCTCTCACCGACGCGTTGTAGATCCGACCTTTTACAGCCAGACTAACGTCACGAAGGCGCCAAAGGTGGCCCAGATTGGCATAAGCCGCTCTGGCTTTCACTATACGTGCATTGATCTCATCACTCACACCCCCACCAGCACTTATGCAGCTACCCAGATACACGAACTTCTCGACTACGTCTATCTGCTCACCATCCAGAGTGAGTACAGGATTAGAATCCTGCCAATCTTGTAGAAGTACTTTGCACTTCGAAGGTGCAAAGCACATACCATACCTACGGACACTGATTGCCAACTGATTAAGTGCGGATTGCATGCCTTGGGCATTATCGCACAGTAAGACAATATCGTCCGCATACTCAAGGTCGAGAAGTCTTTCTCCAGGCAACAGATCCACACCACCATTACTTACATCCATCAGAGCTGTTTCCAGAATGTCATCGATGGCAAAGTTGAAGAGGAATGGTGAGATTGGGCAACCCTGCCTAACCCCACTGCTCGAATGGAACAATGGAGAGAGGTGGTTGTATGCCCTCACTCTGTCTGAGGTGTTTGTATATAGGACTTTTAGGATGTTAATAAACTCAGGCACACCCTTCTTCAATAGACAATCCCAGAGAACAGTCCTGTCCAACGAATCGAAGGCAGCCCTGATGTCAGGAAACACTACGATTGTTGGCCTTTGATAAGTATGGCGGTGTTCTAACATTTGGCGGAGGGTGAAGATATGATCAATACATCCTCGACCAGAACGAAACCCAGCCTGCTCCTCGCGAGTCAATCTTTCTAGGGTTTTGAACAACCTACGAAGTATGACGGAAGCCAATAGCTTGGACGCAATCGGAAGTAGACTTATCCCCCGATAGTTGTTGCAGGAACGACGTGAACCCTTTTTAAAGATAGGGACAACTATCGACTCATTCCATGACGTTGGTACACTCTCTAACACCCAAACCTTTGTAAACAATGTCGTCGATTCCTTAGTCAGAAAGTCACCACCATCTTTAAAATGAGCCAGAGGTAAGTCATCTGGGCCAGGTGATTTTTAGCGCTTCAAGAGTTGGAGTTCCTTGCGGACTTCCGCCTCATTTGGTGGATCAGTCGTCACCGGCCATGGAGGGCAGGACAGTCTGACCGATGTTGCCGGAGCAACAGGCCAGTTGTACTGCCCTTCGAAAAATTCTGCCCACCGTCCAAGACGTCGATGGATGTTAGTGATTGGCATCCCATCATCCTCGTAGATTGTTTCGCTCACACCAGACTTCTTGCTACCAGTGGCTCGGATGAGTTGGAAGAGCTTCCGGTAGTTACCAGATGCAGCTGCTGCTTCCAGCTCATTAGCACGCTTCGACCACCAGGCTTCTCGGTCCTTACGCAAGCTTTGCTTAATTTCATTACGTAACATCCTTCGTTTGTGGTCAAACTCATGGTCACCCGGAGTAGACCGACGGGCTTCAATGAGTTGTAAAGAACCAGAAGAAACCCAGTGCTTATAAGCGGGACGTTTCGCAAACCCACAACTGACTGTACCCGCCATTTTCATGGCGTCATGCAATCGCAACCAATGCTCATCTATACTTTTCGGTGGAATGGTAGCTAGCCTAGAAACTAGCTCGTTTCGATACTTACTTGCAACAGAAGTTGCAACCAGCTTGCTAATATCAATCCGTTGATGGCGGTCACTTCATTGTCCACTGAAAAGTAAGGCAAGATTGGCGCAGACCAAGGCATGGTCAGAGTCCAGATAGGTACTCCAAAAGGAGCGGCAGTCTTGTACACAACCACGCCAGTGGTAGCTGATCGCGATGTGATCAATCTGAGTCCAGGCTTGAGATGCAGAGGGAGGACGCCAGGTGGCACATCGGCGATGACTGTGCCGGAAGTTAGTGCTAGCCAGAAACAGGTTGTGGTCTGTGCAAAGTTGCAGTAGACGGTCCCCGTTATCTGACCTGCGACCAACGAGTCCCCATCGGCCACCTAAACGACTCTCTTCTGTGCCTAGACGCCCGATCTGAGCATTCAAGTCTCCGGCTAGTACTACAATATCTGTCGAACGCACTTTCTGGAGAATAACGGTTAACTGGTGGTAGAATTCATCCTTGATTGCATCCGGGCTGCAATCTATCGGGGCATAGGCGGAGATGACGAGAAGACATCGTTTCTCACGCCGATTTCTTCTCACTTTGATGGAACTCTCTAATCTAACAGCACATAACCGACTGTTAATGGGGATCCAATCGATTAGTGCTGCCTCAGCTCTAGCGCTTAGTGCGACACCAACGCCAGCAAGACCAGACGAAGATGTCACAGGGTCCCCGGATAAGCGCAGGTAAAACAAGCTTTTCGAAGCGACAGATGGAGATCGAATTTGTAGTACTTCGCCAGTCTTGAATACGGGTCTCGGATAGACAACAAACGTCGATATTAAGACTTTCCGAAGACATAGCCTGCCGTATCTGTTGTCCGACCTGCATAAGTGTGCAAACGTTGAAGGCAGCCAGTTTGAATGGTGCACGTGGTTTCAGAAAAACTGCCTCATTACTCATATTCAGTGGAAACATACAATTTTCAACCGGACAGTGACTCGAGAACGTTTAGATAGAACCGAGTTTCCACCATAGACGTGCTGCTGTATAAGTCGAAAAAATAAGTATAGACAGAGTAGGAATAAAAGAGGGTGAATAATGACGTAGTAAATAATAATAATAATAATAGTAATAATAATAATAATAATAATAATAATAATAATAATAATAGTAATAATAATAATAATAATAATAATAACGTGAATCGTTTGACCGTTTGTCGAAGCAAGTATAGTATTTTCCGTAAGTATTGTCATTTCATTCTGTTTGCCTGTGAGCTGTGATAATGCCCGGGTGCCAAAACCGAAGCAGGTGGTTTTCTTAGAGGGCCACACCTCGAGCCTTTGACCTAAAGGTCTAATCCACAAGGCAGTGGAGCATCGTAAGGAGATGCAGTCCCATGGAAGCCGGTGACCAATAATTGGTTCATACGCCATTTGTTCCTGCAGGATACTGGCTCATATATACACCATTGGTTTGGGATTCGGTTAAAGCGCCGGACATTCGCTTTTCGTCCTCTCATTTCCGTAGACAACACCCGTGGTGCGAGAAGGTAGTGAGTAGGACTTCTCTGGCAGAGGCTATATGCGCGTGACCGTGTGAGAGTATTTCGAGAGGGAAGGCGGGCTCACCCCACTCTCGGCCATACCAGGGCATTTGGGGGGCGTAATTGCCCCAGAAAATAGGACGGAACGCGCTTTGTCCTGGATTCCAATGCTAGTCACTATCCATCTTTACTTATAATGCTTGTGAATTAAGGCGATACGCACATATGCCATTAAGAGACTGATGAATTACAGTCTTAAACATCAATGGAAAGATTCAAGCAACCAATACAAAATGCATGAAATGTTTTTGTTTTCCTTTAATTACTTAGTCTCGAGCTTTATTAGCTTCTCTCATAAATTCAATTAAATAATTGTACACATATAGCAATATATGATATTGAGTGTATGCATTTATTCGTTATCCTATAGGTAGCACATAGTTTTGTTGTTTATGTCAACACTCTTTGTTCTAAATGTTACAATACATATATCTTGTACGCATAACAAGGTAACTACACGAATGAGGAACATACAGTGAAACAGAAGGCATACAAATAATAGGTATATATATATTTATCCTTCTGACCTAGACTAGAAAATATAGTCTATGGTCTTGACCAAATGTGTATTTCATATCATATCTTCCAATAGCATATCCTTTTCATATGTTCTTACTCATTCATGACCTTGAGGTGACACGTGAGGTGTCTGACTTATCTATAGATTAGTTTTCTTTGTCTAGAGTTTATCAAGAAAAATTGTTTTACTGAAGAGTTCTCTTTTTTTTCGATGAATTCATTTACAAAGCTATACAATCACAATTGATGTTGTTCTACTTGTATTTTCTCATTGATATTTAGGACTGCAATTGATCAGTCGCTTATTGACATATGTGGATCTTGTGCATATTACCTCGATATTGCCTTAGTTCACAAGCATTCTAAAGAAACATG